CCCTCAAAGGAACCCTTAAGGGTAGTGTAGGGTTCCAAAACAGGGCCCTGCTTAGCGAACCGGCCAGCCGCTCAAGGGCAAGGCCAATGTTGAGAAGAGTGGAGTCGACGAGTGCATCAAGACCGTTTAGGGTTTAGGGTTTAGGGGTTAGGGTGAAGGGTTTAGGGTTTACGAAAGAAAGGGACCAGGGTGAAAAGTTGTAGCCAGACGGGGATACCGAGGACAAGGATGCGGAGATGCCAGACCTCGCAGTGGAGCAGTCGGTGGTCCTCGAGGCCACTGGTGACGAAAGCGACTGAGCTTTCCGCCTCAATTCTGAACAAGATCAAGGTACCCTAAACCCTAAACCCAGCAGGGCAGACGAAAGTCCGTCCCATTGCACCTTAAAAATAAGCCCTATAAAAAACCCTTTAAAGGGTAATCCTGTCTTTTACAGATGCGTACATGGGTGGTTGTCAAAATGATGGTCCCTTTTGGGGTTCTTATTATAATACGGCACCTATTATTTAGGTTACCCCAGAAAGGGACCATAATTTTGACAACTACCCACGTGGGACCTGTTGGGTGGACCGCCGCAGGCAGAGCGACATCTGCTCCTGGAGCAGGTGGCACAGATGAAGGCCTCAGTTCAGAGCGCCTTTTAGGGCTTATAGGGTTTAGGGTTTAGTTTAGGGTTTTGGGCTTTATAAGTTTTTAGAGGTTTAGTTTAGGGTTTTAGGGTTTAGGGTTTTAGGCTTTATAAGTGTATAAAGGTTTTAGGGCTTAGGGTTTAGGGTTTAGTTTAGGGTTTTAGGGTTTAGGGTTTTAGGCTTTATAAGTTTATAAATTGTCTTATTAGGGCTTAGGATTTAGGGTTTAGTTTGGGGTTTTAGAGTTTAGGGTTTTAGGCTTTATAAGCTTATAGAGGTTTATAAGAGTTTAGGGGTGCAGGGTTCAGGGTTTCGGCCTTAGGCCTTGGGTTTAGGGCTCACCTGGACCCCAAAAGTATGCAGCAAAAGAGCCGGTTAAGCGGTCGGGCCATTATTTTACTTACTTTTTGGCGGTTCAGGTTGGGCCCAGGTTTAGGGTTTAGCTTTCAGGATTTCGGGTTCAGGATTTAGTAATTTAGGCCTCCTGAACTCAACTGAAGTAGGGGCCGCAATAGTAGTCCGGAGGATACGAACCCTTTGTACAGGAACCCTGGAACCCTCGTCTAGATACTAAAACCCCATGGCCCCCGTAACCCGCTTGAGCCCTCAGTCATTTTGATCATTAATGCCCCTCATTATGGAGCCGCGTGGTTCGAGCGTGGCTATCGAGTTCCATCCCCGTCCGCTGTCTGCGATTGACAGCCTGGTGCCGGTACTGCGCCACGAGGAGGCGCTACAGATCCTGGAAATGGGTCGGGGCCGGATCCAAATTCACAGGGTAAGCTGTTCCATCGCGGCTATGCTTTGTTTTTGCGAGCATACCAGTTGATGGGAATTCTGCCGCAGCTCCGCAAGGCCACACAAGTGTCACTGTGGAGAGACCAGGTAGAAGCCCTAAGCCCCATAAACCACATAACCGCCTATATCCACCCTACGCCCTAAATCCTAAACCCCTAAACCCTAAACCCCAAAACCCCTAAACCCCTAACCCCCTAAACCCCTAACCCCCTAA